AGGGATGAGCAAAGGACAGGGAAGAGGGCAGGGGAGAGGGCAGGAAAGGGGAAAGCTGGGCCACAGGCAGAGAGGCAAGAAACCTCATTTGCTGCTTTTCTGCAATTACGTTTATTATTATTTGAATCAATAGGATTGGTAATTACATAATTCAATGCCACTAAGGTACACAACTAGAAGACTTTCTAGATGGGACTCTGAACCTTAAACTCATTGGTCTTCCTGCTCTGACCAGGTGAAACTGCAATACAGGAGGTAAAAGCAGCTTGCAGAGTGTGCTCAGGAGACCAAGAATCTGTATAATAAAGTGGCTAAGCAGAGATAAAAATGAGCAGGCAGAATTTCCACTGTCTTGCAGACCTATTCTTAACTTTGGGCTTTTGGATTCTGTCTTAGCCTGGTGACAATGACTATCATTTTTTAAAGTTTGGAGGTGGTAATTTTGAGTGGGTTGGAAAGAACAGAGATCTTGCATGTCTTGGACTGATCCAAACATTGATGCAGATATTTGAGCAGTTTCTTTTTGTTTCTTCTTTGCTTCTCAACAGAGATAAGGAATGACTTCTGTCTCTGCAACTAATTCCATTGCTGATAAAAGGAGCACGAGATGAAAAGACTCCCTGATGAAGTAATGGACTTATAATAATTGTTGGACACTTGTTTAGATTTAATTGACCAATGAATAGGTAAAGTGCTTATGTAATCTTTACATGGACAATGCATGAACAAGAAACTGGTTAGCTAAGCATGTGCAAGACAGTAGAAAAACAAACCTTAGGGTATAAATTAAGTGATGTACTAACAATAGGTGAACAATCGTTGCTGCTATTAATAATGATAATGCTGCCATTACTACTGGTGCTGTAGTTGTTGCTTGGCTTGCTAGATTCACTTATACGTTTATGTTGGCGGATTTTCACCTGGTATTCAAGAGGAAATGTTCGTCTGTACCAATTTTCACCTGGAATAAACTTCTGATTGAACCAGAACGAAGGTCTGTGCCTAATTTGCTACATGGAAACATTCAAGGTCAGGTTGGATGGGGCTCTAAGCAACCTAATCTAGTTGAAGATGTCCCTGCTCACTGCCAGGGAGATGGACTAGATGACTTTTGGATGCCCCTTCCACCCTGAACTATACTATTCTATGAATCAGCTTGGTCTGCTGTGGAGACCAATGTCAGGAATGAGATTACTACACAGTAATTTTTACTGTCCCTCTTAGATCATATCTATTTTACACAAAGATATTTAAAATTGCTTGCTGATACATTGCAAAATTTTCCCTGAGCTATCTCATCTATGCACTTCCTGAGAGAATGAGAAAAACAGCATGTAAAGGCTAAATAAATACCAAGCAAAACAGAAGTTTTGTCTCCCTTTTTGGAAGGGTGAGCAGGGTGCAACAATCCAAATGTTTCTTAAAACATGTGGGGAGACAGCAGAGAGCAGCTGGAGCTAAGTATTCCAAAAGAAGGGAGGGGGAATAAAGCTACCTCCTCCTATACCAGGTTGCCTTTTCCTCAGTGCTTGAACTGGGTGAGGGGGTCTTTTTAGCATCGTTTAGATGGTCCTTTCTTGTCCCCTTCTTTTTGTCTCTGTACCTCCTCTACTTTCTCCCCTTTGCTGGTACTACCAAAGCCAAGATATACAGCATAAGGAATGCAGTATCGCAGAGTGTCCCAAGTCTTGGGTCATGGCCTTAACACATAACTCAGTCACAAAGCCAAAGTTGTAGCATCATATCTTACAAATGCTCCTCAGAATAACTGGAGGCAGAGAAAAATGAGCCTGACATGGTGAGATCTGAAGAACTGCATGCCTGGAATGCAGTGTCACATCTGTGAGGAGGTGGAAGAAGCTGCTCCAAGCTAAACTCTCACTCTTAGCTGTTACTTAGCATCTCACTTAGCAGTCAAGGTCAGAGCTCACAGCTGTTAAGACAATCAGTATCCTACAAGATTCATCCTCTTTGAGTCACTTCCTGACCAAATAAAACCCACATCTCTTAGCCACCTTATTCTTTTACATGGGCTTTTTTCCTTTTTCCTGCTAGAACTAAGGTATTATCAGTATGAGAGACTGCTAAGATTACTTCTCTGATAATAGTTGGATATTTTATTCAATGCTGAAAATAGCAACCTTAGCCCAAGTTTAATCAAAGTTAGGAATAGAGGCTGATGGGAGAGATAAAACCAGTCCTAAGCAGTCACAAAAATGATGCAATAAAAGCACTGTGAAATGATTACTGTTGCAATTGTTCCCCACAATTATTAAGATATTTCTTTTCTCAGATCAGGTGACAAAACTGAAAAAGGTCCAAAAAACATACAAACCCTTGAACACACAATACTTCTTAAAATTAATGTCACTTTTAAAACTAGCAAGAAAACAATCAGTTACTGCATAGGCCTCATATTGAGCTCAGAAGTGGTGAAAATTGCACATGTTGAGACTGTGTCCTGGTTTGAGCCAGGATGAAGCCAATTTTTCTTTTTACTGATTTTTTTTCCTTCAGTGAGCTTTCTTGTAACTAGCAACAGTGTGTTCTGCTAGGCTGATAAGACAGTGGAATGTTTTTCTAACTACTGAGGCTTCAAGGCTGCACCTGGACTCTGCCAGCTCAGACACTAAGGGGAGGAGATCTGTGACCCCCCAGTAGGAGGCTGAGTTAGACGGACGGCGAGAGGCTTTTGCCCATTCCTGAACATATCTGTATATAATTGTATATATTTTCTTTTATGATTCATTAGTGTTTTAATTAAAGCTGTGTAGTTTAGTTTTCAATCCAGCCAAGTCTCTCTCTTTTTCTCTCTCTCCTTCCCTGCCTGGGTGGGAGGGGGAGGGGATCGAGAGCATTGTTGTTGGACCTGAGTCAAACTGTGACAGACTGAAAACAAGAGTGAGGTTCAGCTGAAGCAGCGGAACTTTCAGATATCTACAAATATTTAAAAAAATCATTTGTAAACTAGAAAAGCTCAAAAGATGGCAAAGATACCATGTCAAATGCAAAACTAGCATGCATTTTTTCGTTGAATTCATAATTACACTATGCAGCCAATTAGCAAACCCAGCAGCAGTACATAATGAACAGAACAAATGCCAGGGCTTGTAAATTCTCACTTGTAGCTGCTCAGCAGCTGGGCCCCAAAGGTTGGTATGTGCAGCAAGAATGATATGCTACTGTTGTTTTGCTTGACTTGTTTGACTAAAGGTTGAACTTCTGGTTAGAGAGATCAAAGGGCCATGGTCTGTGGGAACTGCAGGTCTTGCAGGAAAAATGGCAACAGGGGAATGTTCAACTACAGCTTCAAATCAGTATTTTCCTCTGCTAGTTGCACAGTCCCCCACAACTGTCTCATGGCCTCTGCAGTCTATCTGGCTACCAGATTAAAGAAGTAGTAGATTTTCCTGCGTTCAGTCAGTCTGTTATTCTGGTCTTCAGGTGTCCATTATCAGATTCCAGATAAAATAAAGTTTGCATTGATGACAAGTTCAGCTTGCAAACTTTGACCCTCTCTTCTACAAGAGGAATGCACCCTAATCTAACCAACCTGACCAATTTTTTCAGAGGTGGATACTCTATTGGCAAAAAGGGACAGTGGAGCAGCCAGCAGCAACAAAATAGAGACAGCAGCATCTCCCATTGGCACAACTAGATTTAGAGGAAGAAACGTCTCCATGGTTTTACTTCAATCACTTCCATAAAAATGGAAAAATAACTGTGCAATAACTGTTAAGAGCAGCTCCCATTATTTGGAAAATGGGATTATTTTATGAGAAAGATCAACAGCTAAATAAAATAATTACTTAATTCTAGTATCTTGCCTAGAGTGTTTTAATGTGAAAAGCAGAAATATTTACGAATAAATGAGATCTTAAGGAAAAGAAAAAAATCTACCATGACGCTGAAACCCATTAGATAATGGGTTAACACATGGTGGAGGCCTCAGCTAAAACTGGCAGATGAAATTACACAAAATATTTGCTGTGCAAGAGGCTAGGAATACTCCAGTGGCAGAGTGGCAGATGAAGGGACTTGATTTTACTGACTCTTTTCTGTCTGATTCTTGTTGTCCCTCCATAGTATTTTGAGCAGAATGTCATAAGAGTAAGCTGCACACCAAAATCAGAAATACAGACTCTACTAAGATAGTAATAATCTGGTATCCTTTCAAACAAAAGACATGATGAATTTTCTTTGCTTCTAATACTCTTCAAATTAAAAATACCTTGACATGGACAAGGCATAACAGGGGTAGATTTTGGATGAAGGAATAAAAGTAGGTCTTCATCTCAAAAGACATGTTTTGTGGAATGATTATATATCTGACAAGATGTGTTGCTTTGTTTTTACCCTGGTGACTAGAAGGCTTCTTGCTTAATTTTATTTGCAAACAGCTGCAAGACTCAGCATGTGAAGAGAAGAACGTCATGAATGAGTATTCTGGGCTGGCTGCCCAAATCTTGTTATGATCATTATACATCCCTCTCACAGTATGTGACAGTTTTCCCATCTTCATGCATGATTCTTTGTGTATAAGGAATGCTGAAAGGGCTACCTTGGAGTAGAATTATGCAAGTCCAAGGTAAACAATAAAAAGCCAACAGCAAAGTCAGAAACTGAGAGAAATATGAGATGATTTCTGGTTTCCTAGTGCACTGTGAGTGGTGCTATAATAAGAAAGCCAGCAAAATTCAAAGCTCTGAAAATAAACCCAGCAGTTACCAACTCAAAGGATATGACACTAAGAGAAAACATGACACCTTTTCACTCTCACTCCAGAAATTATCTAAAGTCTAGCTCAGCTCTCCAAATGGGGCACATTATCCTGTTAATATTGTTAGATACATTCCATTTGGGTGCATTATTTGCAAAGAAAAAGATTCTTCAATTTTGTGTTCTTTGTAATAACCCTCCTAGTGTTTCTAAATGTTCCATGTTTAAGGCTTCTGCAAACTGTCATTCCTAGTCTTCGTTGATGATGATGTTGTTGATACTTATGTGGCTTCTTTCAGTGTCTCTGCTGCTGCCTGCACAGTGAAGGCTGCAATGGAAATCTGCCTCTTCACTTCTTCCCAGGCTTCATGTTGATCAGCTTTGTTTTTAATGTCAAACATGGCATCATAGATCCCTGGGAATGATTCTCCTGCATACTTGTTATGGCTGCTTGGAGCAAAGATCACATGTCTGTAGGGAAGTTGAGGGAAGACAATATCAATGCATTAGCAAAAGAAAACAATTTTCTGAATGAAACTGATCTGTTTCTATATAATTTGTTGAATAGCTGACACTGAAGTTGAAAATAAATTAGATTATTGCAGCAATAATACCTATAGTGTTTGTAGCAAGAAAATACTGCAAGCTAAACCATTCTTTTTGAATTCTAAAGCTTTACATCTAAGAAGATTTGAGACAAAATCTGTTGACTAAAGTATTTTCTTTTCCCTCACTGTAGATTAAATGGAAATGTTAAAAAAAAGCTGGCTTTTTTTCTCACAGACACACAGTCTCAAACAGAAAAAAGGTGTGTTTTGAGGTAGGAAAGTTGGTACTTTAACAAGAGACTGTTCTCCACAGAAGCTATGAGGGGTACAAAGACTGTAGATCTTAAGTTCTTCTACAGTTAAACTTTTTATTGGAAAGGTTACTGTTCTGAATTATGCAGACTGCTAGAAGAACCATATAGCTAGATCTGATTTGATTCTTCTGCCTTTCAAACAAGAAGGACTTCTAGAACTGGATGAGAGAACTACTGCTTTCACTGCTGCTTAAGTACTTCCCTCAACACTGTTTTTGCTACCATAACTGTTCTCCTATAAACAATCAAATTGTAGATACTTCAATAACACCTTTTTTCACTTTCAAATAATAAAAACTTCCTAAGGACTCTTTACCACAGAAATTACTTAAACTCTTTAGATGCCCACTGAAATCAGTGGAGATGAGTTCACTGACCTGAACAGGTTTCCAACAAGACTCCCTCATTCTATATTCTGTATCTCACTGGAGTTTTCCATAACATTGTTTTCCTTTTTCAGTCTTATTTGTCCTGCATAATCTATTTCTACTATGTTGAATTAAATAATTACAATTCAATTTAGAGACCTGGAAATCTTAAAGGAATCCTTACAGTGTAGTCCACATAGAAAGAGAAAAATAAGCCTTTCTTACCTATAGAATGGCCTGCCAGGCAATCCGAGAGGATCGATGAAAGCCCTTTCTAGATACATGAGCTGATCATTTACTGATCTGACAGCAAGTAGGCTAAAAAGAAATCAGAGGAACATGTTAGCTCTTAGTGTAGGCCCTCTCTCATCCCATCCCTGAATGTACACAGCTCTGGATTTAGGAAGGACATTAGATCCAAGATGTTGAGCCCACAGAAGACAGCCTATGTCAGCTGACCTGCACAACAGAATGATGCTGATCTCTACTGTGAGACAGTCTCATTCATAACCTGAAAGTCTCTTAAAGCTACTTTTACAGACCAAAGAATAGTATCAAAGAAGACAGAGCCTTTCAGGCATTTAATCTCATGTTGCATATTATTCCTGAATCTCCTTTTCATTAGGATGCTTAGGTAGATCATCCTCTGCTTTCATAAGGCAGTTTTCTAAAGACCCTGTTTTCCATCAAGCCAGCCAGCTGCAAATTGCTTCAATAAAATCACATTTTTATGTAAAACAACAACATCTGAGAAACATGAACCTTGTGATGTTAGAATCATGTTTTGAATCATCCCAGAATTGTGTTTTTCTGACAGCAGATTGTAAATTCCCTAGAGCAGAGGCCATCTGTGTCTGTGTTCTTTGAATAGCTCTGAGACTACTACTGAGGCTTAACAAATAAAAGACCTGTGAAGAAGGTTATACTGAATATATGTGGGTTTGGTAGTTTATATCCAAAGTAACTTATTGTAGAGCTTCAAAGGCATTTACCAATAAAAAAATATAAAATTTGTATCACCATAAGCCTGGAGTAACTCAACAAAATTAGTTGAAGTTCTCATTGTTGTAAATGGAAACCAAAACTAGTTGGTTGAATTAATGCTTAAATTTAGATCGTCCATCAACAAAACCATTTTTGAAATGTCACATACATGTCATATGTCATAACTGTCATATTTTATATAAGAAATTATTGTAACTCTTTTATCTTGAAAGTTGCTGCCATTAAAAATATGGCTTTTACTCCCGCTTAGTGTACCATAAGGAAAAGCATATGGCTAAATGAGATTCTTCACAAGAAATGCAACATACACAAATGTATATATAAAAGAATGTTTGGTTTCTCATTCTGGACATGGCCTACAAAGAATGAATTAAGCATTAAGTTAAGTACAAATTAGGCCTTTTGGCATAGGCTGTGCATAGAATTTTTGAAAGCTGACCAAAAAGCTTGCCATGACTACACTCACGGTAAAGCCATTTCATTATTTTTTTTTCATTAAATGGTACCAGTACCTTGAAAACTAGAATGCTGGTAAACAAAACCCACAAATTAACACTTGTTCTTTAATGATAATCTAGTTTACAAAGTCTCAGGATGTGTCTCTACCTAGAGAGACTTACACACCTGAACTGGCTGTGCTAACCAGACTTCTAGACATATCCATGTATCATCCTGGCACTTGCTCCTCAGCTAAAACCCATCAAGAACTGATAGGAATTAACTTGGAAATTTTCAAAGCTAACATGGCCAGTTTCCCAGGCTCTGCAGTGTCTCTATGTCCACTAATTCAACATTTCTGTATTTTGTTTTGTAGAGTAACCAGATCTACAAATACAAGAGTCCACAAGGTCCTATAATGAAACAAATGACTGTCAGTCATTTGTCACCAAGGGTGTTCAGGGAACTAAATGCAAGTGAAGACTATGCCCTCTGAGCCCAGAAGACTACATGGAGTATTTGACTGGAAGAAAAAAAGAGTTAAACTTACTTATTGATATCTATTTGTTTCAGTCTTTCATGAAAGCTAGCAGCAACTTCTGTAAAATTCTTCACAGCTGAAAAGAGAGCATCTGGAGGGAGCAGGAAGGAAGAATTTAACTTCACATTCTGAAGAAACCATTTAATATAGCAAATTTGTCAAATTAAAGCCTTATTTTTCACTGTGATCATTATCTGTAAACTCTTACCGAAGGAAAAATCAGATGACCCCATATTCCTACATTAAAAACTTGTCTTAAAGACAATAGAAATCAGTATTTCTGTGAGTATTGCTTATTGGTTGCTGCTTGAAGAATGTACAGAATTATCAAAAACTAAATCATGGATTGCCAAAACCAGATGGTTCAAGTAGGTCTGGGATTTTATAGATCCCAATGACCTATGTTTTACTGGTAAAAACATGCAAAGTTTTGAGAAAGAATGAGAGTGTGTGTGGGTGTGCGTGTGTGTGTGAGCATGCACATGCACCCAGTATTGGTCATTAGTAGCCAAGTCCTAAACTGAATAGCATATAATGTTACTAATAAAATAAAGGCTTCTTAGGCAGGAAGCATCCTGTGAATTCCTGTAACATGAAAGAAAATTTCACATTCCAAAACAAGATCCCTAGTGTGGCATAGGGATGAACAACTCCTGCCTGACCAAGCCCCGAGACAAACTTCTCAAAGTGCTTGCACTTGCCATTGTGTGCCCATAAATCAAAATAAAAGAAGTTCTCAGACTCTTCTCAGTGGTGTCCACTGACAGAACAAGGGGTAATGGTCATAAACCGGTACACAGGAGATTTAACATGAATATGAGAAAATATTTTCTTACTCTTAGGGTAACAGAGCACTGGAACAAGCTGCTCAGGGAAGTTGTGGAGTCTCCATCCCTGGAGACATTCAAAAGCCACGTGGACCTGTTCCTGTGTAATCTGTTCTAGTGGGGTTGGACCAGATGGTCTCTAGACTTCTCTTCCAACCCCTACCATTCTGTGATTTTGTGATTCTGTGAAGTTCTGACCAGATATAAAGTGAATATTTTTACCCCGAGGACACTCAAACATTATGGTCCAAAGAGGTTCTGTAGTCTGTGTCCTGGAAGGTTTGCAAGACCAGATCACAGAATCTTAGGGGTTGGAAGGGACCTCGAAAGATCATCTAGTCCAACCCCCCTGCCAGAGCAGGATCACCTAGAGCACATCACACAGGAATGTGTTCAGGCAGGTTTTTAATGTCTCCAGCAAAGGAGACTCCACAACCTCTCTGGGCAGCCTGTTCCGGTGTTCTGGATGTGGTAAAGCTTTGTGCAACCTGATCTGACCTCAGAGCTGACTGTGCCTTGGGAAGGTTGACCTAGAGACTTCCTGAGGTTCCTTCTAACCTGAATTATCCTATGAACCTATGAGTAGTGTTGGACAGCCAATTATCAAACACCATAAGCAAAGCAGTGTGATTTTTCCTAGGCACCAAGACAAAGATATCTTGTTGCACACATGCAGATGGCAAACAACATTCAACTGTAATTGTTAACTCTACTTGGCAGTAGCATAGTCTCTACACAGGCACACTAGTGATAACAGATTAAAATTTCAAATTATTGGAGGGTGTGGCTCTTGTTTTATTTACTGTTCATAGAGTACAAGGTAAATAACAGGTCATAACTAAGGAATACATTAAGACAATGCTACCATTAATAGAGGAGGAGTGTGATGAAAGACTGTACGTACCAAAGGATACATTGTATGTTGCCACTTCCTCTTCATGATTCCTTGACAAATTATAGATGACGTGAGCATAGTTGTTCACAGCTGATGCATAATCCCTACAGTCAAAAGGAAGCACAACGGAGTTGGCCAATTCAAACACCAGCCCTCCCCGTACCTGAGCTACTGTCAGATGATTCTTGAAAGTGGGATCATAAAACTTCTCCACAATTTCATAGGTCTCATAGACACTGTGGTAAACTGGATAGCTGCTGTATTTTTCTACATCCTGTAACAAATAAGCCCAAACAAAACCATCAGTCAGCTGTAGACACTTCAGCTTTGCTTGAAAGCCTTTGCTGTAGGATTCAAGGAACTGTAAATTAAGTGCTCAGGTCACACTAATCCTACTAACAGCCATTATAGGCAGTCAAATGAGAAGAACTGTTCAGTGGTGGCTCTCTTAGACATCAACCTACGATGAGATGAACACTCATTTGGAGATACCTTTCTCCTCTGATATGTACAGAGAGCCCAAAGATGGTAGCTAAGGACACATAACTCTTAGTTGGATAAACTAAGCTGAGATTGCCCTTCCTCTCTTTGCTTGGATCTCAACAGTAATTTCTGGTTTTGTCTTTGGACATGGTTTTTCAGAGGAAAAGACTACATTGACTAGATTGCTCCTTCAACATTTCTCTGTTTGTTTAATCTCACAGTAGGCTTCAGAGTCACATCCATATTTTCCATAAAACATAAACAATTTTTAGTTCAAAGCTTCATAAGTTATTATAAATCATTCAAAAGTCATCATATGTCACTCATAAGCCTTCCTCAACAGTAGGTAATTTCAAACACACCCATTTACCCTGAGCAAAGGTCCTTCTATCTGACTTACACCAAGCTGACCATTTATATTTATTAAATATTTGTGTTGTAGTAGCACATAGACTTCTAGTAATAGGACTCTACTCTGACACCGTGAAGTGACTACTCCAAAAATCTGGCTGTCTAAATGGCTCAATTACTGGTGATTTTATTCAGCCTGTTTCAGAAGAGAGAAGATTACAAAGACAGAGACTTACCCAATTTTTACTGTAACGTGCTCTTCCTGAAGCAATGCCAAGACGTTGAAAAAAGACTTCAAAGTCATTGCCAGAACCCAGTTTATTTATTCTTTTAATAAGAAAGAGAAAAATGCCTTGACTGACAATACTTATAGTTTTAGTTTGCTTCCAAGTACTGTGGCAAGTATTTATTCTGCAGTCACAGCCACTACAGTCTTTCCTAGTATGCTCTTTCTGTCAATGTACCATGAATTGTTTGTGACCCCTACATTACAAGCACCTCATTACATTCTCAGAGGAGCAAAGTCATCATTCTCAGGTCAGAGAAATCAAACTCTCAGGAGCATAATTTAACTCACTGCCTTTAATCATTGGGAAGAATCAATTATCTTTCTCCTGCTGATCTGCCAGTATCCCAAGCTCCCAACTCAAGAGAAATTTCAACAGTACTAGCATGGCTCCAAGGAATAGAATCAGTCTCTCAGATTCTATAGAGAAATCCTGGTAAAGCTGAAGGACAGTGCTGTAAAACCCTCCCTGGTATACTCCCCAGCCATCCAAACTCAGAGGCCTTCCAGGAGACTGGAAACAAGTGCAAGGGAAAGCACTTGTCTGCCTGCTGCTGGCTTATGCATACTACCCTTATTTGTCTAAATCTCTATAAACTAAACACTTGACTTTTCATATATAAAGCCTACTGCTCATGCTGCAAAGGCAAGCTCACAGACTGTTGTACAATAGTGTATCAGCTGCAATCACTAAAACTCTGAAATTTCTACCAGATGAGAATCACACAATATTTTTTGGGTGCTCAGTTTTTCAAGTGGACATTTATTTAAAACCCATACTCTAGCATTTATCATTACTTCTGGTATATCATTTATTCTGTTTTGTCACTGACCTGGGGACCTCTTTATATTCTTTTGATGGATTTTTTTTATACCAGCTCTCATAAAGAGATTTTCCTTCAAACTCTTCATCCGGACTTGGTATCTAGAAGAAGTATATTGTAAAAAAAAGACAAAGGGTACAATTTTAAATGCTACAAAGAAACAAATCTATAACCTACAATCATGTAAATCCTATGGGTTAGGGCAATGAATAAGACACAGACTCAAGTCCCTCAACCTTTTTTACATGTCCATTTTGACATTTCAAATGCACAGCCTTTTTGAGAGGAACAGTTTATTTGCTAAAAATAGGTAACTTTAGATGGAAGAAATCACAAGAAAAGCAAAATACTTTGTGTCAATATTTGTATTCTGATATTTATGATATTCTCACCCCTTTAAAATATCCAACACAAAAATGCCTCACAAAACCAAGACATTGTTCCACTTTGGCAGGAAATTTCAATTTTGTCTTGGTTTAATTCAAAACCATTTCTGCCTTGTTTTAGGTCACAAAATTATCTGCATTGATGCAGCAATAATCTTAGAAGGGCAAAGCTTCAAGTACTTGGTGTTTAAGTCATCACAGCTGTTACAGATATACAAATCAAGATCAACCTAAAATTAATTCATATCACTCTGACTACTTCCCAGATTACTGAGCAGGTTAAATACTGTGGGTTTTTTTTCATCTTTCCTTTTTATTGGTAAGCTGTTGAGGTTTTATTATCGTTAGCCTATTAAAGATTATTAATATCTAGTCTACTATTAAAATCTTTATCCTACTATCTAAGAATTACTTCAGAATAGGAATCAAAATAAAACTAATATATTTAGGGGGTCACAAAGCTAATTGCTCACAGAACAGAGTTAGCAGAGTTAACACTTTTTGCTACAAATTAACTTTGGATCACAAGGGACCTAATTCCAGATCAGCATTCTCTTCAGACATCAGCTACCAACAAGCTGTTGTTAGATGCATTCATCAGCCTTTGTTGCTGTTTCCCAGCACGAGGAAGGATTACACAACCATGTTTACTGGTATTTAGGTCAACATTTTAACAATGGCTATTGGTGTCCAAAACAAGACCCTGTTGACCTGATTTTCAGACTGTTCTGAACACCTGCACTTTGCACAGGTTACCATGGGAACTGCAGGTGATGAGCTCTTCAGCAGTTCAGGACAGAAATATCTTTATCTGGGCAGCTAGTTTTAACTGTTATTTTTTATTTCAATTGCCCAAAAATGATTATACTGAATTACTACATTTCCTTTACTGCTGTACCAGTCTAATGCCAGCTTCCAAGAGCTGACATATTATTGACCCTGGAGAGATGACTGAACACATACAGCAATGAAGACAGATACAGTAGATTCATAGAATATATACAGTAGCTCTATATTTCTCTTTTATATGTATATTTATATTAAACACACAAAAAGAATAGTAATTAAATGTTCATGCTTTAATACAGGTGAACAGAAAAAAAGCAGAAATAAAAAGTCCTTAGTGGCAGTCTCTATGACCCATTCTCAAAGCAAGGAACATCTCACAACTAAGATAGTGAGGCTATTTCCTGAAAAAGGTTCATACATTTTAATTTTGTGTGACACAAAAATATGTGTGAGAGCTTCATAGTCAGAGTTAATGAATATTTAACAGGATACACTAAAGTTGAGCACATTGACCAAATCAGTCACATCATACCAAAAAGAACACTGATTTCTTCTTCTGCCTAAAGGGCATTAGTCTTCCATTATCATAGGCACCCAAACAGATTGACTGGATAACCAGGTTTGTTCTTGTTTCTGTACCCCAGCCCATTTTTATTCATTTGTTGTTAGAAGGAATACTTTCACAGGAGGAGTGGAAAAATTCCCTAATCCCATATAACTAATAATTTAAAGAAATAAGCTTGACATCAGAGAATCACAAAGTCACCACAGGTGGAAAAGACCTCTAAGATCACCAAGCCCAACTACCAACCCAGAAAAAAACCACCATGCCCACTAGAGCAGGTCCTGAAGTGCCACATCAACATGTTATTTGAATACCTCCAGGGATAGTGATTTCACCACCTCCCTGGGCAGCCCATCCCAATTCCTGGAATTTCAGAAAAGAAATTCTTACTAATATCTAGTCTAAAACTTCCCTGGCACAACTTCAACTTCAAATGCCTTTGCTACTCCTGGGGAAAAGCTCCAGTTACTTAGCTATTGACTTAAAAGGGGTAGTGCAGTCAGAAAAGAAACTCCTGACCCCATATTTTACACCGAGCCCCCTCTACTACATGAGCACAAAACATGCTGGCTAAAAATTCCAAGCAATATTACCTCTTTAGTCAGACTGTACACTAGTCTGTACATCAGTGGTGTGCAATCCACTCGAAGTGTGTAGTTTCCTGAAAAACAGGAAAAACTATTTGAAGGAGCAAGTTCAACTCAGCTGAAACCTTGTGCCATTATTTGTTGATAAGAAAAGGACTAGAGACCTATATTCTCTTCAAGGAATGAGGTAATTCTCCCTGTAGAAGAGTTCTCCTGTGATTTTGTCAATTCATTTGTATTGGGCAGGATGAATTACAGCCCAGCTTTTGAAGCAACTCTTAAGAGCTTTTCTGATGTCCTTATGTTTATTAAGAACATTATAAGAGGAGGAGCTGACTCTAAGGAGTTCATATAGAACTGCCAACAAGGTTATAACATTTTTAATCTCTTCCCATGACTTTCCAAGTAGTGTTCCTACTGCAATTGACTTCTTCTGTGAAGCAACAGCAACTTCTGAAGGATACTTTGTGATTCTGGGTCAGTTTCCACCCTATCCTCTGTTAAGCTAATGCAACAAAATAATTACATTGGAGATTTCATGGATCTCTACGCCAAAATGCCTCCCAGTTACCTGTACATACCACCACCATTCATATATAATACAAATCAAAACTATGTACCTTCAATGGAGGAATCTGCATTGATATAAGCCACTCCTCGTGCTTGCAATACTTTGGCATTTTCCTACAAGAAAGAAAAGAGGGAGAAAATGTTTGACTTTTTTTTCCCCTCCGAACTTTTTTCACATCCACAGCAGGAACAGCTGTTTCAGTGAAATAAACCATATAGTGCATGGATCTATATATTCTTAGTAGTTCAAAAAGAAACTTAAGAATTTGTGTGTGTGTGTGTGTGTGTGAGGAAGAGGAAGCGAGAGAATTAAAAATTGTTGCTTTCTAGTACAGATTTCTTAAAGATCTGCCATGTTGTAAATTTCTCTTTGAGCACTATTGGGTTTACCTCAGCCCACTCTGTCGACCCAAACAAGCCAAATTCTTCTGCATCCCAGCTTGCAAATATCACTGTTCTCCTTGGCCTCCATCCTGCAATAGAAGACTATAAAAATTGTATTACAGAAATAAAGACTGCTTGTTAACATGGCAATGTCATTTTTGGTCAGCTCATCTTTTATCCTGATAAAAGGTATTTCTCCCCCTCTACTCTGCTCTCATGAGACCCCATCTAGAGTACTGTGTCCAGTTCTGGAGCTCCCAACATAAGAAGGACATGGAGCTCCTGGAGAAAGTCCAGAGGAGAGCCATGAAGATGATCTGAGGACTGGAGCACCTCTGCTATGAAGAGAAGCTGAGCGAGTTGGGATTGTTCAGCCTGGAGAAGAGAAGGCTCCAGGGAGAACTCATAGTGACCTTCCAGTACTTGAAAGGGCTACAGGAAAGCTGGGAAGGGACTTTTTAGAAAGGGACTTGCAGTGAGAGGGCAAGGGGTAGTGGACCAAAACTGGAAGAGGGAAGATTTAGGTTAGACATTAGGAAGAAATTCTTTAGTATGAGGGTGGTGAGACACTGTCAGGGGTTGCCCAGGGAAGTTCTGGAAGCCCTATCTCTGGAAGTATTAAAGGACAGGTTGGATGGGGCTCTGAACAACCTGATCTAGTGGGATGAGTCCCTGCTCAAGCAGGGGGATTGGATCGAAATTATCTTTAAGGTCCCTTTCAACCCAAACCATTCTATGATTCTATGATCTGTGGGGAAAGAAGTCTGTTTAAGAAACTTTAACACTTCGTGCTTTGCACAGATTCTTGAAAGAAAGCTTTTCTGCTCTTTTGGTTCTGTTCAATTCAGTATACATTGTATACCAGCATCTACTTTGACAGAAAAGTGCATGGCAGGTTTTCATATCTATTACTGAATTTGTTTGACCTGTCTCCCAAATGCTGGATTTCAAAACCTAAGAAATTCTCTCCAACTTTGACAGACCACATTCAAAACAAAGATATTGCACTTCAAGTTCTGCATTTGATTTAAACCCAGGACAAATCATACAGAACAGGTACTATTGCCCTGCCTCTGTATCTCTGCTCAAAGTTTTCTTTTAAGCTTCTGGAATCTTTTTATCTTTTTCTCCCTTTCCTTTTTACTGTATTTTTTCTTTTCTTTTCAGCTTACATTCCAAAGACAGTTTCCCCTGATATTCAATAACTGGAAGGGAAGGGAGACAAAACTAAATGTCAGGAAGTTTTAAGGGTAATGGGTAGGCAAAGGAAGTTCCTCTAGCACAGTATTTGAGTTATGTCAGAGCTTCTTTACATGGCAGGTCAGACAGGCAGGAAGCATTTGCTCTAACAGCAGCAGAAACTTGGTACAGTTGGAGTTTGTTCCTATTCTCGTTTTACTAGGCATGAGGTATTTTTAACCATTACCTCCTAGTATGTTTGCACAGCTTAGTCTCTGCATTACACAGCTATGCTTTGTTTATTTTTGGCTCTGTCTCCAAAGTGGTCAAGTGCTGAGAAGGCTCTTGATGTTACCCAAATGAAGCCTTGATCCACCACTGCCATCCATTTTATAAGACCACTGAAACACCCAGTCTGTCTAGCCTCAAATACGCAGTAATCAGTTGTACCTAACTTGCACCTGTTTCAGTATCCCCCCACTGTGTTTTGCTTTCCTTTAGGTGTGCTTTGGCTTGAGTAGAAGTACCTCACATATAACAAGGTTGCAACTGGAACTATTTAACAGCTGCAGAGCAGTGTGCTTATTTGACACACCAGTGATATGCGTATGTTTCATTTTAAGCATATGTTTAAATTCCAGACAAATCAATGGGCACACTGAAAGCAGGGATTTTTGGTTTGCTTTATTCCTTCATTGTATCACCTCCTTGTATGAGGTTTAACAAGGCCAAGTGCCAGGTCCCGCACTTCGGTCACAACAACCCCATGCAAAGCTACAGGCTTGGGGATGAGTGGTTGGAAAGCTGCTTGGCAGAGAAGGACCTGGTGTTGGTGGTTGACAGCTGACTTAACATGAGCCAGCGGGCTGCACAGTTGGCCAAAAAGGCCAAAGACATCTTGGCCTGCATCAGGAATAGTGTGGCCAGCAGTAGAGAGGTGATCCTGCCCCTGTGCTTGGCACTGGTGGGGCCACACCTTGAGCACTGTGTGCAGTTCTAGGCCCCTCACTACAAGAAGGTTGTCAAGTTGCTGGAGCATGTCCAGAGGAGAGCTGCCAAGCTGGTGAAAGGTCTGGAGAATAAGTCCTACAAGGAGAGGCTGAAGGAACTGGGATTGTTTGGTTTGTAGAAAAGGAGGCTGAGGGGAGACCTCATTGCTCTCTACGACTACCTGAAAAGAGATTGTACGCAGGTGGGAGTTGGCCTCTTCTCTCAAATGAATAATGACAGGACGAGAGGAAATGGCCTGAAGCTGCACCAGGGGAGGTTTAGATTGGATATTAGAAAGAATTTCTTTACCAAAAAATTGGTTGGACAGTGGAACAGGCTGCCCAGGGAGGTGGTGGAGTCACCATCCCTGGAAGTGTTTAAAAGAAATACAGATACAGTGCTTAGTGACATGATTTAAGCACTGAATGGGTAGATTAGGTTATGGTAGTGGGATTTAGGTTACAGTCGAACTTGATGATCTTCAAGGTCCCTTCCAACCAGGATGATTCTATGATTATATGATTCTATGATTATATTACCTCTCTTGTTCAGTGTTCCAAAGCTCCTCACAATCTCATGAACCACAGCTGCCCCACTCTGGGGATCAATGCCACCAAATACCCATGAGTCACGGTGGCCTCCCAGGATGACATACCTGTCTAAAGAAAACAATTATGTCATTTTACTTAGAAAACCTTTTTTTCCTGCAATAGAGATGTTACTTGGAAGCAATTTCTAATTTTCCACGTAGGTATTGGGCAACATACCTTAATAGTTTTTAGTACATATGAGAAGAGCAAAAGACATTTTAAATCTCCACAGACATTTTTCTACATTTTCAGCCAGTGCTGAAAAATTTGTCAAACACAGTAACTTGATCTCCTAAGATTTAAAACCACTTATATTCTATGATGTTACTTCTGTTATTAAAAATACTGCAGATTTTCTCTAAAGATAAAGCATCTTTCAATATTTTACAATAGTATGGGTCATGGTAAAGCTGATCCACTGATTGTATTTGTAGAGCACCCCATCTCACAACATTCAGACATGATAAATGCAGTATTTCTCTGAATATGTATATAGTCAATCATCCAAATTATGACAGAGATGTGAATAGTAAGACCAAAGTCAGACTAGATCTCTGCACCACTGTTAATATGGTTAACAGTTGTGTTTCAGGCAACAGAAGTACTGCAGTTACAAGTTAAATGATGTTATCATCATTCTAGGGATGTCTATATGTCCAGGTTTTTTGCGTGTAAAATCACACTGGTTACAAGAGATTGTAAGAGAAAGTCAGTAGTGGTGGATATGTCTTTAGATGGAATACAAAATCTATTCCCATGTTAGCATGGAATAATCTCCACTTTAGAATATTCTTTCAATTGTAAAGTAACTTACCTGAAAACAAATTTTTCTCTGCTGGTTACGACTCCCCCTTGAAAATCACCATTTAAAGTGAAAATGCTGACATACCCTTAACCATACGAAACCTGGTGCAATAAATATTTCAACACTAATGATCATGTAGTGCAATGTTTCAGAGAAAACTATGTTCCTCATTTCTCCCTTGTAACTATGAAGTGCATGGAAAGGTCACTGCAAGCTTAAATCACAGTAAAGACAAATGATTTTTACCTGGTTCCACTGTGCCTCTGATGGTACCAATCACGTTGTAAATCCTTGTAACTTTGTTGTGGCTATGAATGTGCATTTTCACCTTGCTAGTGTATTAGGAAGAAATTCCAAAGAAAAAATACACCAGATTAGATAATAAAATATCTTGACACCTTTCAGATGTGTACCATATTAAATGTAAGGAAAGCATTTTCACCAAATTGACCCTCCATTAAACCAAAGTAAATCTGAAAATATTTCAGTGCATTTTTTTCTGGATTTATACTTGTATAACTGAGAACACTATTTAGCCCTTTAAACCTATGTACTGTTATTGATGTAAATAAGACTTATATGGATAACAGGCTCAGGGAAACAAATTCAGAGAATTTTTGCTAGCAGGTAGTTTTTGAATTTGGAAGAGTAAAAGGAAAATGCAAACCATCTAATGCTAAAAAGTTAAGTAGTTCTAATCATCTAGAGGTTGGTGCAACCCAGAAAGTAGTCCAGCACAGTCAATACATGCCTGATGTGGTACCTCAGGCAGCAGAAAATGAGACAACTCATACTCAAAGAAACTATGCTAGTAACCACAGCGACTCAACTTTTGATCAAATTCTTTTGCTCCACCTGTTTTCCTCTGATTTCAAGTACATTTTCTTATGAAACAAAACTGACCTTGTAGAATAATTTGTTGTGAAACCGGGACCAACGTTGTAAGATACATTCAAATTTCCTTTCCAGCTACTATGTGGAGGTGCATATCCTCCCATATTACTATTAAGAAAGAAAAAGAGAAACAAAACATTATTAGTACAGACATCTTGCAATAGCACCGAACAAAAATGAGGAACTACACTTTGATAGGTCACAAGCACACACAGACCACAGTGACAGTCTTAATCTTACACAATTTCTACTACAAGCTTTCACAGAAGAAACATATGGCTTTTGGAATACATCAATACTAGCAACTTAACATAGTAGAATAGTCCTGTGCATTGGAAAATAGCATTGGCCTCAAAAGGCTTTGCACACAAACTGCCTCTTGCAAAGGCTCCCTGGAACTTCCTACTGCCTTGAACTGCATTTCCATTTGAATCAGCAGAGAGTAACTTGGACCATTCTAACAGTTTACCAGCACAGGCAGTTGTCTTCCAGTGCCTATCCCTGGACATTGTCTAATCTAGTAGCATAAGTAAAGCTGATGTGTTTCAAAGACGTCTAAAACTGAAGTAACATGATCAGTTCAAGTCACCTTTTCCTGTTCTAAAGGTGAGATGTTTTTTTCTCAGTTAACACAACTGGAAATGCACTAATTCAGTGGATTTCAATATTTATCCACCTATTCCAAAGGTTATATATTTTGGACATGAATTTGTGAGAAACAAATACAAAATATATTATAAATTATGCTGGATGTTCTGGCTCATTAGGCAAAATATATTTATTATAAAAGAAAGCACATCCTTTTCTGTAAATGCATACTTCAAAGAATCTTAGAATCACAGAATCTTAGGGGTTGGAAGGGACCTTGAAAGATCATCTAGTCCAACCTCTCTGCGAGGCAGGGTCACCTAGAGTACTTCAGTCATTCTTTATTCCACTGAACACTTGAGCATATCTTCAAGTCCTTGGAATATTTTTATATGAAAATGTGATGGCAGGAATACCTAGAAGTTATGACTTCTCAAGACAAAAGTGAAGACAAGAAGCAGGTCTTTTTTTAGAAGATTTAGATTTCATTCATAATTATAAAAATAAAGTTCTACAATTATTTCCAACTTATTGAAGAGAACTATCTAGCTACCTAATATTTATACACATTAATCTGCTCTACCACTATTAGTTTGCAGTGGAAAAAAAGAGGGTTTTTTAACCTATATCTCTATCAACATAAGCAGTTTTCCTCATAACACAACCATGAAGTTTTAAAGAAAAGTCAGTTTGAAGATTTATTAGTACATAAAAGTTTGGGAGGAAATAGGAAAAACACTGAAATAGTTAATGAACATCGGATGTGCAAAAGCACCAAAGATAGCAAAATTCTGACTCATACAAAAAATGAATAGCTTCAACACTTCAGAAGAAAACTGCACAGAGGACAAAAGATAAAATATTTTTACTCAATATTAAAACTGAAGCATCAAACAGAGCAGAACGAATGCTCATATGATTTAGCTGTAAATTTCCTGTACATCATGTTCACTTATTTCCCTAAACACTTATCCGTGGTACTGTTGCAAACCCTGGTATTTCCTGCTCTGTGTCTCTACAGTTAACACTGATGATAACTCCTACATTTTTAGGGGAAAGATACACTTGCCAACTCAATCAAATATTATTTTTTTTTCAGATCTTTTACTTGGTTTGTTAAGGTAATTCTGAATTTGAATGCTGTCCTCTGGCAAGTTGGCAGCCCATCTTCGTGTCACTCGAATATTTAGTAAGTACACTTACTCACACATAGATGTATTAAATTACCTATAATACTTCAGAGTTTCCCTGTTTTCCTTGTATTAATTTGTCTGCATCATTTCATATTTATGCAACATAATACACCTGCTGAGAGAAAGCACATGACTTAATTTAACAGAGATCAGTACCGATACTGTCTCATCGACCAGGAATGGCAAATACTTCCCTGGAAAAATTAATTACTTCATTTGTGTTTTGGTTTGGAGTTTGTCATTTTTTTGTGTTTTTTTCACAAGACAGGTATCATGCCATCCTCAGGGGTTTTTTGCCTTTATTCAAACTCAGAGGCACTTTATAACATCATTATAGTGTGATATATCACAAATTATCCTTTCCAGATCACTCTGCACCTATCTGATATGTATTAAGAGATAACATTTGCCCCTACAGAGAACCTAATGAGAAACATACACTATTTCAACAGCTACAGTAGAAGCACAGTGCAAAAGTCTTTTCAAAAACTCTTCAAAAAACAGCTTGCTTAGAATTGCTCATGACTCACATACACTTACCGAAGTAATGTCTCAGCATCATGATAGCCAATGGGATGAACTGGAATTTTTGGGAGACCTACACCACTGGCTTTGTCAAGTCGGTGGGTGTATTCTGAAAGCAAAACACCGATATTTTGATATTTCCAGCTCTCAGAAGGAATCTGTACAGTTCATAGCACAGTCCTAACACTGGAGTCAGAGATAATTTCACTTTCTTCCAAGTCAGGCTGGCATTTCTTCAGTGATCTTATTCTTTATACTTTATCAACATGTTTTAGACAGACAATAACAAAGATTCTGCCATAGTTTCTGTAGTCATTAGAGCTGGCTGGAAATCTGAAATTTTTTTTATTGTTTTTGTGTTGAAATTTGTTAGGTAGAAATATTTTTTCTGTAGAAAATAACTTCAGACTAAGCCATAGGTGAAGAACAAGAGAAAAGAGGAAGCCTGTAGTCTGATGTTCAGAACATTCAGCTGGAAACTAAAAAAAAAATTAAAATGTCAGTTGATAACAGATGCAGATAAAATTGTACATATTGGGCTACTTAATATTCTGTTTGGCTCTTTTGATGAACAAAATTAAGTCTAGGTTTTGTCTGACAAAGCTCAAAAAAAAAGGTTTTTTTACAAATTTTAATCTTAATTTTCACAACGTGGACAAAATTTGATGTTTGCAAGCCAGCTGGTATAGAATAGTTTTCTCCTGTGAATAAAACATTCCCTTGGTGAAGGAAGCAGACAGGGATTAATCTATGAGATCACTGACTCTGGCATGAAGAACCAGAGGTCTTCCTCATGGTCTGCTTCTTCCACGCTGCTGTTGTGAACACATATCCTCATCCACCTCAAGTATGCTGACTAGAGGCAACCTTCCCCATCACTTAGCGACTGCTCTTCTCCAAGTGACTGCCTCCCTCAGATCTGCTGGCTCAACTCCTGGCATGAACAGTTCCTAATGCATTTCAGTCAAAATGATCTGGGTTAGGTGCTAAATGAAACAGCTTTGGCAGAGCTCAAAGCAGCTGAAGAAGCATAAGGTGAAGGGGATGAACCAGTGAGCCATCATCTTTTCATCAGGCTCAGCTGCAGCTGGGTGACATGAGTCCCAGCATGAAACATCTCAGCATTGCTAGTAAGGGCTCTTTTAGAAGGAAAGCAGCCCAAATCCTGCAGAAAGAAGAACTACAAAAGCAAAGAAACCTGTGAGCTGTGCAGATTGGCTCCTTGCTGACTTACTGATGAGAAGGAGAAAGAAAACACTAGAGTTTCAGTGTAATGACCTCCGGGCTAACTTGGGTATGTCTGTGAAGCTAAGCAGCATAGCACTGCACTGTGTGGCTCCCTTAGTATCTCCTCACTTTCTTTCATGCACCATTTACAGAAGTGGCCAACTGACACGAAGCCCAAAGCTGCCTCTTTTCAGCAACAGGAAGACTAGGAAAAAGTGTGTTTTGTTACCAGGGAAAGGACATGCCCTTTAGCTTCTCCCCTACTTCCTGAAACCAGATCCTCAAAGCATGATTTCTCTAGTGTCACTCACCCTTCGCAGGATAACCTGGTGTCAGAGGATCCCCTGCCCCATTGAGGTTTAAAACATTTCCACGCTGGGCTCCTCCACCTGGAAGGTTCCAGCCATTTGGATAGGGATCTGTTCCTGGGGCGCAGTAGTCAGCAGGGTCAGAGTACAGAATAATTCCCTTGGCACCTGCCAGTTCAGCATTCTTCACCTGCAAAGCACATCTCTGGTCCCTATCCAGTTCTTTATAGCTTCACACCAGAGTTCAAGGAGCAAAAAAAAAAGTATTGTAAATTACAGGTCGTTTACAGAGCTTGGGCAAAGTGAAGGACCCATAATTGTCTCATATAATAAAATATCATGAAAACATATCTGCAGATATCAGGTTCCATTTGAAAGTAAGAGGTTTACTGTTGCTTTGAATTTTAGTTAGGAGATAAATGCAATGACATGGAAAACATCCTTTGCAGTATTACTATACAACCTGAGTTTGTCACACAGATTATTACAACCAAGTCACTATTTAAATCATAGATAGAAAAAACTGCATCACATAGAGACAACCTTACTTTTCAATTAGTCACATGTTTATCTTATTTGTCTAAATGGTCTCCTGAATGTATCTCCAGGTTCAGACTACAAAGGAAGATTATTATTGGAGAGCTAAAAATGATCTTTGGTTGTGAAAAAGGTTAACTCCAAAGAGTGTGTATCTTAGGCTATTCATGGTAGAAGGACTGCCTTGCATGAAGTTTTGGTTAAAAAAGTCTTCTCATGCAACTTTATTATTATATAATATTGATTGGTAGAGGGTGAAAGACAGAAAATATATGTAATTCTGACACACCAATCTGTTTTACTACTAGATATGATGGTGTTGTGTAGTGACTGAGTGACAACTTATCCTCAACAGCTTTAAATTTGGGTATTTTAATTTAGAAATACCAATCTCTTAATGAAGTATATAATTGTCCTTCATCCTCTATACTATTCTTGCACACCATCAGGAAGTCAGAAAACAACAATACAGTTCTCCAGAATTTATGCTGGCTTCCACATTCTTTAATATATAAACAGTTATTAGAAAAACTACTGTAAGAATGAGCATATCCCTTTGTGTTAACAAGGATGTGTAATTTCCAAACCACAGGTCAACTGCCCCTCTAGACATTAGTAACCCTAAGGTGTTTGTATTTCATTTTAAGAAACATTCCTAGATGGAAAAACCTTCTTCAGTTTTAAAATCTTGGCCATTCAGATAGTATCTTTAAGAGTGGTAAAAAATGTATGAAAAAATAATCTGACCCAGAATGAGTTACGTGCCACTTTTCACTGGTGATAATGATATTTATGTAAACCAGTGAGTTACCCACTTAAAAGTTAACTGATTGGTCAACAGCATATAATAAAGAGTTGGCAATCCAGTGAGGAGATTCAGTGTTTGATACCCTTAGGTAACTGAGAAATGCAAATTACAGTTCTGCTCAGATTAAGGTTGACCTAAATTCTGTACAAGAGCCAAACATACTTAAAACAGACTTGTTTTCTTTCATCTCTACTGAGGAAATAACATGAGTGTATGCCTGAAGTATGCACATTATTATCTCCTTTCCTCTCAGGCCATGGAAATCTGCTGAAATCAGTAGTCTAAAAATATTAATATCATAGGGACACTGAATAAACAAATACAGAATTTCAAATAACCTCCATATAGTTACAGTCTCTGCTTGGTGTACAGAGGCCATTATAGAGAAACATAATACATGTCTCTCAAAGCACAGCTGAACCAATAGGGAAGAACCATCTAGTTCAGAGTTACAGTTTATTTAAGCATGGTAGTAATATTTTGGAACAATTTATAGTATGGAAATTAATATAAAATAATGTAAGGTTTTCCAAATTATTTACTTTCTTCCTATAGATGTATTAAATACATATCAAGTACATATTTTGTATCTTCTACTAAGGAATCACCTTTGAACATAACTCCATGAAAACTCAGTTATGCTAAAATTTTCGGAACAATTTAGGTGTTTCAGTCTCTTGAAATCAACTGAAGGACAGCACAAGTAACATTTTTATATAGGACATTACCTTATTTCCTCTGAAGATCTTCCCATACCTGGCAATAACAATCTTTCCTGTGCAGTCAATTCCCATTTCACGTTCAAGCTTAAAGAAGTCCTCGGTGCGGCCGTAATTCACATACACTAACTCACCCTGATAGAAAGAGGCAGAATTTGAAAAAAATGTTAATAAGCGTATCAAAAGGAGGATGTGATCTACTAAGAGAATAAACTGAGAACAATGACCTCTGGGAATGGCTATGGTATGAATTCTTCTTTGATCCTGAGACAATTGGGGTTGGACTAGATGATCTTTTGAGGTCCTTTCCAAACCCTAACATTCTGTGATCCTATGATTCTATAATTAGATTCTGGTCCTCTCTGGTCAGAGAATAATTCATAAACACAATGATTATTCTTGGGGAGGCTTTTCTGAATTTATGGAGTAGTTTTCCCTCTCAGTAAAATCAAGTGTAACTCTACTGAAGTAAAGAAAGTTCTTCCAGTCTATTTAGATAAAGCAAAAGGAGAATTTGGTTCTGCATTTTAACACAGTTTCTTTAGAATATATGGTACAGAATACCTACACTTGCAGGCTTGCTACTTTGTCTGCTTTCTGCTATATATTTCTGTTAAAATAAGTTTCTGTTCAAAACTTAACTTATTTTTTCATCCCACTCTTTATTGAGATTTAGTTAAAATACATCACACAGAAGAAACACACATTTTCTGACAATCTGTATGACAGCCCAGTACATATTCCATCTGCACTCTACTGAGAACCTGAAATGAGTGGAAACTACTTTTAAATCTCTGTAGGGTCTCACTCCAGCAGTCAAGTAGCTATCATCCCACTTTGACAGTATTTTAACTGTCAAAACACAGTCACTGTTACTTATTTTTAAAAAGCAACTGAAGGGAAAAGTAATAGTGCTAGCAATGTTGAACTGTATTTCCACAACTCCTTGATCATAGCACTCACCCAGAAAATGTGTGAGCTGTGTTTTTTGCCACTCTCAGTAAGAAGAACTTTGACCATTTCTATCCCATTTTCCAGGAATATGACCCACTCACAAGACTGCAGTTTGCCTGGGATGCAGGTACCTTATAGCCTTCTGCCTTCATTGAACTTGGAGGTTTGTGCAGGAATCATTTGCAAATTAGTGAGCAGAAGGAGAACTTATGACTGACGACTGCACTTGCAAAGTCCAAATATCTCTCTCCACAGCTGAGTTCTGCTTTTTAATAGTAAAGTTTTTAACATAAAATATATAAACAGGCCTGGAAGAACTCAGAACAGCCCTGGACCCACTAAGCATTCCCACTGCTGAGCTATATAGGTGCTCCTCCTGTGTTTTTTGCAGAACAGGTGCAAACAAGTGCTCACTGTAGAATATTGTTGTTAACAGCACTAGGTAGGCACCTGGAGCTTTTGTCAAAGTGCTATGTAAGAAGGTGAATATAAACACTACATTTTGAAAAGACAATCTGTCTTTTAAGTGTTGTTTGTTGTTTTGCTTGTTTGTTGTTTTCCAGAAACTAAGTTCTTATATTTAATTAAATTAAAATAATTTTCTAAAGAAGGAACCTGCAGCTTCTTGTTTTTATGATTTCCCATAACCCAACACTAACTCTCTTAGTAGCTCTCCACAAACCAAATAAAGCAATGAGGTTATTCTGTCGTTCTTTGGGAACATTATTTTATGATACAAAGCCAGAAGCCATGAATTTTACCTTACATTATGTTCCAAAATTCCCACTTCAATTCTTGAAACACTGAAAGCTCTTATATCCTACAGCAGAGACTATCGGCCTGGTTTTCCAGACTCCTCTGAGTATCCAGGGCAAAGGAATACAGGATACCTTTTGCTTTTTAGACTTGCACAGCTTATTAACAAACTTCAGAAAGTACATGGCTAATACGGGGCTGTGTGAGTAAAAGCATTACGTGCTGGTTTCAAAGTCAGAACCCAATTTAAAGCAGACATTGGAGCAGGTGACCTCCAGGGGGCCCTGCCAACCTACATTATTCTGTATACAGATGGGAAAGATATTGAGAACAACATAAAAATTCTTATCTTACAAACTATTGAAAGCCCTAATGATCACAGGATAGAAAACTCCTATTACACAGGTCAGCTTTACAAAAGAAAGCCTATCAGCTGATGCAACGGTTCAAGAAGATACAAAGGATTAGTGTTAAGCTCAAATCACAGCAACACTTTTACAGCCAGCTAGAAATGCTAGCAAAAGCCATTTTCAAGCATGCTGTACACTGTGCTGTGATACCTGTCAGTGTGAGCCTTGGGCAAGCAGCATTTTGAAAATTAGATTGTTCATTTGACTGTGTAAATGTAACTCTTATTTTTTCACCAAGATGGGAAACAAGATTGCACAGTCACAGAAACATCAGGAAAAGCTTATAGCAGCTGATAGCATGAAAGATTTTTACCATATTTTTAAAGAAAAAGATGAAAATTAAATACAGTTCTGAATCAAATTAGAGAAAAAAATAAACATATGTGTACGGCTGCTCAATTTGAACATTGCTCCATCACAAAACTCTAAAGAACATCAGAGTTAGGACGACTTTCCTACTGGTGATACTTCAGGTTTTTAACTAAAGCCTAGGAACTTTCACATTATTCTGTATTGACTACTATGTTAAACTACACTATGATTTCCATCTTTCTGTTTCTATTATTTCTATTTCTACCTCTGTTCCTCCTTCTTTTTTTGCTTCCTTTTCTACTTTATTTTACTATTCTATTATGTTACCTCAGGTATTCCTTGGGCTGAAAATGCACTGTAGGGTGGCACCACGTCTTTAACACCTTCATATCCTGGAGGAGGAGGCTCAGATAATGATGTGTTGAAAATCTAGTGGGAAAGAATAAAAGAAAAAAAGTTCACCAGGCAATATGGAAAAGAAGTACTGTTTATTCAGGCACATTTTAACTGCATTTGCAGTTTAAAGGACTAAATGAGGACCGGCCAAAAATTTAGCAAACACTGGGCAACCTTTTCAGTACACAGGTTCAGTATGTGATCTTGCAAATCCCAGCTCTACTCTTCAGATAGAATCCTGCTTAAATGAACACAGGAACTCTTAAGGCGATCTCAGTACAGCAGGTAAGAGTAGTTTAGACCACCATGGTAAAAACTGCTCACATTCTGCCCATCCCTGGAGCTTCCATTAAAGAACTGATCCTGTTTGTGGCCATATATCTTGAGGCCTAAACTATTCTTCAAGGAACTGAATTTAGCACTACCACCAATACTGTACAGTGAGTCAATGCAAATAATGATGCTGACCATTGTTGCTTTCCTCTTTCTGAATAACATCATAATTTTAAAATAATTGAAGTATATGAAGTATACTCATATATGAAGTAAGTATCTTACATACTTCTTATCTTCATATATCTTATATGAAGAGCCAATATATATCTTCTTATCTTACATACTTCTCCTTTAATCCATATATGTCAGTATGCTAAATGAATCAAGTATCTTACATACTTCTCCTTCAATCCATATATGTCAGTATGCTAAATGAATCAGGGTAATTACTAGCATCCCTAGCACATACTTTAAGAAACAAAGATAACAAAATAAAAAAGCACAATGGAACTCCTCAGTTCTGTGAGCTTTGGGACAGGCCAAACACCATTAACAGAGCAGGGGATAGCTTTCCTCCCCAGGTTTCCCAGGCGTTTGAAGGTGATTTTTTTCCCCTGGCTACAAAAACTGGTGTTTTCTGTACCTCGTTTCCATACTCATCAATTATGGAGATGTAATTGGGCTTAGTGTCATCAGGGTAAGAGAGCAAGACATCATAATGAACCAACTGAACAGAATCCAATCCAAACTCCTTCCATTCAGCTTGGACTTGCTGTGCCAGATGCAGATTCTCCTTCGTTCCTGCCAGGTGAGGAAGCCGTGTAAAATTGCTAAAGAAAAAGAAGCAAGGAGTCAGGATCAGGCATTGCAGCTCATAATCAGAATTCCCTTAGACTAGCTGGAAATAAGCCCCTTTGAGATGACCAGATGTACCAAGGCTAAACAAGTGCCCCGAGTCCTCTGCATTTATGTTTTTGCTTTTCTTACACATAAGTTGAAGTAAATGGTTTCAGTCTGTCCTGTATTTGCACATGATGTCAGCTGTGGGGTCTTGTCCTTGCTTTACTCTTTGTCTTCTAGGTGACCTTAGGCCAATCACTCCTATGCATAATGAGAATGACCTTGCTTGCAAAGTTATAAAAACTTAGTATAATTTTATCTGCGTATTCAATGCAGAAATGTGCAAAATTACTCTGATCCTTACAATTCATTAACTGGGTATTCTCCTTGGACTTCATTATTTTAATTAACTTTGGCACAAATATTGAATTATCTACAAGTTCACCCTGAGCATGGCTTGTTGGCAAGTAAGAGAGTGCATCCACAGTGGCTTACAAAGAAGGAACAGAAAAACTCAGCAGTTTGTGACTTAACAGTTATCCAGTATGCATAACAAAGTGTGAAAGATTACACCATAAAGAGTGAGCAACCATGAGGCTGTCATAATGATGTCCTCAACTGTCATACGACCATGCCATCAACAAGTCACAGAAGAATGTATTGCACCAGCTGGTGTTAATGAAGGAAATCAGATCTTCAATAAGGAAGGGGCATAAGGCTGGGAAAAATTTGAATGAGTTCCAGTGAGAACAATGCCATCAAAGTGCTAAGAAAGAACTAGATAGTTCTGCTTTTGTACTGAATGCTGCTAGACAGAATCATGTTCCTCTGATACTGTCAACGTCCAGTACCAACAGTGTCCAACAAGTCCCTGCTACATTTTCTGGATGACATATTGAGTCAAGAGCACAGGTATGTGTTATTGTTAGAACCAATGGCTGTTCTGTAAGAGTTAGGAATGTTTAAGTCTTGTGTTTACATTAAAATTTTACCTATGCAGTAACATTCTCCTGTGTTATATTGTCATTTAACTAAATGCTGTCTTTTTCTTCATTTTCTATCTGTTGACTGTCTGTACTGCAAAGTAGCAACTAAGTATCTGCCTTATTTCATCACAGAACTGGCTCCATGACAGTAAACACAGAACAATGTTTGCTGTTGGCATAAAAACAGGGAGCTTAGAGGGTAGAAAGCAGTCCTGTTACAGAGCTGTTTAAAAACAGTTGATTTTGTAGGAGCCAAAGCACAGCTTAAGACTGTAGAAAACCCTAAGTCTTCAGTTTTTAATATTTATGTAGTCCTCGACATGGCTGTTATGTAGTAAAGAGAACATACTTCCCAGCTAATTTGTTTCCAATAGTTTGTTGTTTGTGCATTTAAATTAGTGGGACTGCCACAAAATTGTAAACTGAAAATATTTTTTATGTAATTTGGTTTTGTAGTGAGATACAATTTCATGCTAGTTCATCAGACTGGGACTTTAAGGCACATTCAAATTTGACTATTACTTCTGAAATAACTGATACTCTAACACATTTTTTTTACACAGAAAATAAATTTCTATCAATAAATCATGACCTCTGGTCTATTGCTAACGAGAATAAACACAGCTTTTAACAAATTCTACACTCTCAGAAGTGAAAAATAATCTGTTTATAAGATTCCTCAAATAAGCAAATAATAGTACACCAGCTTCCTCATAGTTCAAGCTTCTAAGCTACAGAAATTTTGACATTAATTACAGTATGTAAACTGTAATATATTTTTTTTTTAAATCTGTATTAACATCTTCCATTGTTTGAATTTTCAGGAACAAATGTCAGCAGCTTTGCTTCTAGGATTTAATAAAAGCTACTTTATCTTAAAAGCGTGTATTTATATATTTAGTATATTTAAAATCACCTAATTTAAGTACTAAAGGATAAATAAGATGAAAACATTGGGGAAAATATGGTCTTTAAAAAGAATCTAAAGAGTCTATGGGGGACTATTGGATTTATTATAAATAGTCTAATGTATCATCAGATTATTAGCTGGTATCTACTGAGTCTCTTCTAGCTATTCATTGTGAAGGAAGACAATTTAGAAACGTTTCTTTCTTCATGAAAATAATAACAAGATCTGGTCAGAGAATGAGGAAGTGTGAAGGAAGAGTAGCAAAAAGGTATTAGGCCCAAAGTGTAGGAATAAGTAAAAACTTGAACACTGGTATGATTTTACATTGATGTACTCCCCTGTTTTCCATTTAATCTCTCCTGTTCATTCATACAGCCTAATTTGAAGTGAACAACTTCCCCATAAACCACAATGAAAGATAGAAACTGTAGAGAAGACACATAGGAGAAAGGCTACTCTACTTCATTGCACAAGCATTCATCAAAGGCTGAGCAAGAACTCGGCCAATCTTGAATTACTTATGTAGTGAGATTACTGACTACTCCTCAGTGGCTTCCAGTGCAAACAGGAATGACAGGAGCTGAGATGGACTGTCAATTACAGCTCACTGGGACACATTACGTAAACATCTGGTGGCTCCCTTGGGCTGGTTCGGGCTTGAAGTATAATTTTTCTGACCGATCAGTCTACATATTGCTTACTAAAGAAACTGCTTGATGTTTTCAGCTTTCATTTCAGCCATAAATGCTGCCTTCATGTCCCCATGAGGACTTGCAGATGTCTTCTTTCCTGTAGGCTTTGCAAACCAACCTGTTCAACACACCAAAATACAAGAGTAAAAATACCAGAGCAATGTACCCACATCACCAGCATTTCTCTTTGGTATCACCACAAGATTTTCACTGTGCACTTTACAACTGTTTTTGTCTCAGTGCAGACAAGCAGCCACAGCCTAATGCTGCCTCCACAGTGATGACACTGGCAGTCACCACACAGTGAGATAACTTACTTACCTAGGCAGATATCGAGGGGAATAAAATCCTGTATTTATTCATCACAGTTATTTTATTGTAGATGCTAAGGAGACTTTCCTATCTTCCTTTAGCACCAGAACATTGTGCTGTTAGTCATGTCACTAATAAGGCAGTAGCTTTACAAAAATGCACAGAAACAGGCACCCTTTGTAAGGAACAGATATCTTGTAACTCCTTTCTCACTCTCTGGTCTGTCTAGCTCTTACTCAGGATCTTTCCCTTACCGTGCAGCATTACCTCGGTAAGTGATGAGAAGAACACCTGGCTAGAAATGAAGTGTTTCTGTCATCTGGTTTTTCATTTTTAAGTCAGACTGGGCATGTTCAGTGCAAATGCTGCAGCAGTTACATGAGTAGTGCAAATGAGAGAACTGGTGGGGAGCAGAGAGCAGGTAACAAGCTGGCACCAACAAGACACTGGTCTCCAGCACAACAAAAGGCTCCTTCCACATGAAAAAGCAATTCAGTCAGGACTTCCAGTCGCAGGAACACCAAGTACATACCGAAAGGCATTCAAAATACAAGCGTCTCTTTTGTTTTGCTTCCTCCTCCAAAACTGAGCCTAATCCATCGATAAAACAAAAAGGTGGTAAATGAGGTGAAATCTCTTATGGCAGCAACCCGCAGGTCTGCCTTTTTGGACCGAGGAGCTGGCAGCACATTAAATTAAAGACTATTTCACTCCTGCTGCCAGTGGTCCCACCTGGCTGGTTTGGGCATGTGCGGCTTCGATGCAGCGGGGTCGAGGGGCCCATGTTCTGTCCCCTCTTCACAGACCCCGAGCCTCTTGCTCATGATACGGTACAGTAATAACTAAGATATTTAAGGGGAAATCGAAAAACATGTAAAAAAGATGCTAAAAAAAAAAACAAACCTCAACCCTTCACCTGCGGAAGAGCCAGAAATTCCTGGGGGGTCGGCGACAGCACCGGCCTGGCCCGAGGGGCAGGGAGGGCAGGAGGGGAGGGAGGTGTCTGCCGGGCCGAGCACGGGTTCCCCTGGGGCACCCCCGGCACGAACCCCAGGGCACTGGGAGCCCGCCCGCTCCTTCCCCCCCACCTGGCCCCCGCCCCCTCCCGCGGCAGGCGGGGGG